CTTTCTTTTGGGGAATTCACCTTCTGGGAAAATTTACACAAAGTGTATATACATATACATATATATACATATATATATACATATATATATGTATATATATGTATATAATGGCACCCAGTTTCAGATATAAGGTGTACCTTATTTTGCCTTTTTGTACTTTTACATAGGTAAAATAACTCTTTCTCCTTTTGCGTGGAATCTTTTATTCCCCTGATCATAAGGAAACTCACAGGGGTCTTTACTCTTAGCAACTGTTCTTGCTCAGAATGTCCTCATCTGTCGAAGCAGCCAGAGTATGCAGAGAGTAAGGTGCATTGCTCTCTCTGCAGCATGCATGCTGTAAGGTGTGTTGTAAGACAATTTGAGCTTCATCTGCATGCCCAGGCTGCACTACATTTATTCTTTCTTCTAGAGTTGGAAATAAACTCTACAGGGAATTGTTCACTTTTGTTATTATCATGAATTATTCACTTTCAATGATGCTTGAATAACATCAGAAAATTTGAAGGAAGCTATTTGTATTTCTGGAGGCTATTTGTTTAAGCAGGCTGAGGGAAGGGAAGGATAGCATTTAATGAGTCTTTGTACTTTGTTTACACCAGAGGTTTTATAAAAAAAAAAAAAGTTCCACTTACTACACAGATATTTAACCTGTTTGTTTATTGCTTGAACTCCTGTGTTTTAAGTAGTTGGTGCATTATCAAGCATACTCATGGTCATTTTCCTTGGAATTTATGTCCTTTTACGTGCATATATTCCAATTAGAGAGTTTAATTACCATAATAGTAATAATAGGATAAAGATAAGTTTTACAATGATAATGTTTTTAAAACCCCACCTAGCCATCTAGGAAGGTTTAAATGCCATTGGAATATAAAGCAAGAAATATACGCTTGTCAAATATACAGTATAAATAAATAATTTAGATGAAAATGGCTGATACATTTAACAAAGACTCTACCAAATGATGAAGGGCTAAAGAGTGGTTGTTAGATTTGATGTACTTCATTGTATATTGTAAGTAATTGCTATCCATAAGAATTCTGTGGCTTCTGTATAAGGCGAAGAGACATCTTGACAGGCAACACTAGGATACAGTGACAGCAAGCACAATTCCCTGGTGACTGTCGTTACCCTGCTGGTGAATTCACATCTAAACTATGGGGTAAGTTAGACCTGCATATTTGTTATTGAGCCACGCTCTGTCAAAGTAGCCACACTTCTCACTTATGAATAGAATTATTAGCCACATGCAGATTTACTCCATAGAAATCGAAATTCGCCAAGGGATGCTTTGTGTTTCAAAGGGGCGGGGTGGTGAAAACTCCCTGTCACTTATGCTTCTGCTAAAATTTCCCCTGAAATGTTTTTGACTAAATGAAAGTTACATTCTTAGAAAATAACAGATTTACCGTTCAGTCTTTAATTAGCTCAATATTAGTAAGAATTTTTTTTTAATAAAACTGAAAAACAAAGGAAGCATAAGTCAGACGATTAGCTGTGCACTGCGTTAACTTTGCACTAGACTTAATGCCCTTTCCTTTGTGGAGGAAGTAGAAATCCAAGTGGACGGTTATAGAAAATTCAGCTGAAAGAGACTTTTAAAGTGTGAGAGTTTTTATTATCTCACTGAAGAACTTTACAGAGTAACTAAGTCGTCCACTTCAGTGTTTCAGCAGTGTTATCAGAGAGACTGACCCTTTGTACCTTTACCAGGCAATCCTCAGACACTGGCCAGCCTGACCTTTCCTGCTTGCCAAATAGCTCAACACAGATTCACTCAACAGTAGCTGAAAGAAAGAGGAGGGCTGTTTGGATGATCAAAACCTACTTAGTGAAAAGAACATCACCCAGAAAGCTTCTCATTGGCTATATAAACTATATAAAAAACTATGAAAAAGCAGCAGATTACTCAACCTGCCAGGGACGAACGAAGGAAATGGAATTTTCTCGCTGGCTGTAGACCGCTGGGCATTTGCACACTGGGCTGCTCAGAGGGCACCTTCTGTGAGCACAGAAGGAGGCTGAGTTCCCCACTGTGGCTGAGGTTTTGTATCTAAGGAAAATAGAAGGAATAATAGTTCAGTAATCAACACTGTCTGGTGTAACCTGGGGCTTGAACTTTTCAATATTTTGTTTCTTAAACTTTTGTTTTTGATAAATGACATTTTTACACAGTGCCATGGTTGGCAAAGACTAACTTCTGCACACGGTTACTGCTTGAATTCCTTCGAAAGTCGAAAAGATCTAAAAGCAGGGCTTTTTACTCTTCTATGGGTGGAGAGAAATCACCCCAGATCATATGACAAGCAAACCTAGCAGTTCACAAATTCTTGCCCTCCCTGCTCCTTCCCTCAGCGTCGAAGATCAAACCTAGAACTTTCAGCCTACTAGTCAAGTGCTCTACTCTGAGCTGTATGCCTAATCATTTTTTTTTGAATTAAGGTTATTTATTTCTATTATTTTATCATATGTTAACTCAACGAGTCCAATTGGTGCTGCCCCTTCGCACAAGGGTGTGGGAAACCCACTAGGGCATGGGCAACCTGCCGGTACCACCTCTCCAAAGACGAGTGATTCTACTTCCTTCCAAAGGACCAGATAATATTATGGAAGAGTGGGCAGACAGAATGTAAGAATCGAAGGATGGGGGTCAGAGCTGTGAGTCACTGCCACCTGGACATTAAGTAGCTTTTGCACACAGGGACTCACAGCAGCTCCGGTTAGCTGCACAAGAACTGGGCAAGGTCAGGTCAGTTAAAATGCTCTCCTTTGGATCAGCAGTTAAGAACATGGACTTTTCTAGAGCATATGAGTTCAGTTTCCCCGTACCCACAGGAGGCAGCTTAGAACCCCAGGAGCAGAGAATGAGTTGCCACCTCCCTTGGTGAAACTCTTTTACCTCACCTTGTCCAGGACTCTCTTCCTGTAGTGATCGGGATGTAGCAATTGTAAATTTGTGTGTATGAACACTAGTTTAAACCTTTTGTTATTTTGTCACATAATTATTTTTAACAAAAGGGGCTCCAGAAAATAAGTTCCAAATACAGATTAACACTGAGCACTTCTTGAAGAAAGTTTAGCTATGGCGATATATTAGCTGGTTAAATGCCGTTAGCTTAAGTACTCAGATTAGAACTATAAAAGGTCCTGCATTGCAATGACAGCACAGACATTTAGAAGGGAGTGTCGAAGTGCTTGTGGTCGAATTCCTTATCTGTGAGGCTGAAAAATAAGATTTTTGTTAGTTTTCTTGCTATAATAAGCCAGTAAGGTTTACTAATGCTATTAAAATAGAGATGGTGAGAGAAAAGCCAGACTTCTCCACTACCTTTTCTCTGCCTTTAGATAGAAATCTTTAGAGAAAATAGGTCATAAATAAACGTACTACTGACCTACTTATTTAAATGTAATTGTATTTTATCATTTACCCAGTCTTATGTAATTTACTGTCTTTATCATACTAGAATCACAATTAGATAAAAATAATGTTAGTGCATAATTCCCCAAAGATGCACTGTTGTGATGGCTATTCTTGAGCACATCTGGAATTAACTAAAATGCAAATCACTGAGCACACCTGTGAGGTATTTTTTCCTTAATTAAATCATTTGGAGTGGAAAGACTACTTCTAATCCACATCTTTGAGGTGGAAAATTATACCTTTAATTCAGATCTTTCAGATCTTTTGAGGTAAGAAGGTCTACCTTTAATTTAGGCCACACCTTCTGCTGGCAGTTTGTATAAGGATACGAAAGAAGCAGGAATGTTTTCTTTGACTGCTTGCCCTCATTCTTATGAGCAAGTCCATTCCTTCACTGACATTAGGGACCACATCATGGGAATTCTGGTATATACTGAAGACCAGCTGAGACATCTAGCCTGGTGGTCTGAAAATCTGGACTCTACTACCTTCTGTTGGTAGACAGCCATTGTTGGACTTAGCTGGAACACACAGAAATACACACACACACACACACACACACACACACACACATGCACACACACAAACACATACATGAGCATCCTTAACAATACAAGTGTCATTCCAGAAGAATGGAGTGACCGATTTGGTACATGTTCAAATAGTCCCAGTTACAGACGTTTGAGACGTGGGTAAGACCATAGCATCTTGTGTGCTTCGTCCTCACACATCTGGGTACTCTTAAGGATGCTGAAGCTTGCCCAGTCTGACTAAATCAAACACGATACCTGTTTCAACACAGTGACTTGCTATCTCCACATCATCCCAGGTCATACGGTTTTCTGTCTACACATTCTTATTTATTTAAATGCCACTCATTCACTTTGAATATTGGGGCATGTGTGACCCCCCAGTCCCGGTCTCTCTGAGACATGTGACTTTCAGTTCCAGAACCCAGGCAGTCCCGGGTAAGCTGGGATAACTGAGTCATTCTAATACCAGCTCAACCACCTTCCTTTAAAAAAAAAAAAAAAGTAATGTGTTTTGTGTGCTTATGTCTATGTAAGCCACGTGCTTGCTTAGTGTCTGCTGAGGCCAGAGAGGGTATGTCCTGGAACTGGGTTACTGATGGCTGGAAGCTGCCATGTTGGTGCGGGTCCCTTAGAAAGCACCCGATGCTCTTAAGCGCCGGGCCATCTCTGCGGTGCCTATCAACCATGCTAAGACAGCTTTCATTAAATTGCTTACACACACACACACACACACACACTATATCCCCACTAGGGAGGGATGGTCTGCAAGTTCTATGCATGTAGGACTGCATTACTTTAATTCTAAATATTTCTTAATACTTAGATTGCTTATGTTTAATAATGTAAAACACAAAATTACAAATTCTTATACTTTTTTTATACTTAAAAAAAATTACACGAATTTCTTCAGTTTAACTAAATAAAGTAATGAAGCTCAGCAGCGGGACAGGCTTGGGTCCAAACTTCTGCCATGTCTCTGCTGATGACATGTTTGTTTACTTAACCTTTCTGAATATCAACTTAGGTGTAAAGGGAAGTTGAAAATGCTGCCTTCCCTCTGGGAGTATTACAAGTGTCCAAATCCTGGGTGAGTAGCACTAACCAATAGCTCCCAAGCATTTATTACATGGTAGATGTTAATAAGTTATTACAGTGGATCCGTTGTGCTCTTCCACATGCTGTTTCTCTTAGAGAGTTTATGTCAAATCAGGCAAAGCTGTTATTAAAACTACTGACGGTTGTTTGCAGCTTCAGTTTGGCCCCAACAGACTTTTCCATTCAGCAGCTGTGTCAGAGGGTCAAGCCTTTAAGATTGTTCTACACATCAAACAGCACCAGATCACAGCCAGGAGGAACCATCAAATTCAGATAGCTACAAATCCAAGAGTACAAACAATTCTTGTTTTATGTTGGCATCCAAGAGAAACAGATCTGTCAGTGTGCCAGTGGGTCAGCTGAGGTAATCAAAGCTGTTCGCTGTTCTTTTTAACCAACTTGTTGAAGCTCTTTTATTTGAGAGGAACTTATAGTGAGTCCATTGACAATCTCAAACATTAAAACATTGCGTTTCATTTGGGTTGGGGTTCTGTTTTCTGTTGTTATTGGATTTTTACTTTGAAAACACTTGAGTCAGAATGTTGCTAATTACTTTTTAGAAAACGAGATGAACTCCAACCTGGGTGATGAAAACCTATGGAAAGAACACTGGAGGCAGCACCGCTGCTTACAAGACATTTACTTTAAAATAGAAATGTGCCCTTTTGATATTTAACCAATATTTTGGAGCAGAAGCAAACTGAAATGCAGTTACAAAGTCATCTGGTACATACATTTTCAGATTATCATAAACTGTTAACCTAAGAGTTAATGGGCAGAAGAAACCGGTGAAAACAAAAACTAAGGGACTGAGGCTTCCATTGCATTTAGGTGTTTGACTATACAGGTATATTGTGGTTTTAATTTACTTCAAGTTTTTAATTTTTAAATGTTGACAGTATGTTAATGGCCCTGTAAATTAACATGCTTAGAGAATTCTGAATAAAATATTTTTGTCAGTTTACCATATACTTAAAAAAAAAATCAAAACTAGTTTTGACTGATGATAAAAACCTAGAATTCTCCACTCTTACTGTCCCCCAAACCAATTTGAAATTGTAAAGACACAGGCAACAGAGTTAAGTTTTGAATGAAAGTTTCATCATGATAAACCTATTGGAATTTCTCATGTCCTTTAAAAATTAAAGAACGTTCATAAGCATAAACACTTGTGGAAAAATCTTAGCCATTTAATATCCCACGATACTAAGACTTTGCTATTGTTTTGGCTGTCAGAAAGTGGCAGGTGTTTGACTGGCTCTAATGCTTCATGTACATAATCTAAAACAGAATGCTCTAGGGTTTTGCTGGTAAAATGAGCAGAGTGATTCATTCTGAGAGAGGAAGAGTCTTGGCAAATGTCCTACTGTATGTTTAGATACTTCCAAACATACTGATCTCACTGTATCAAAAGTTTTGCTGTAGGATCTTATTTGTAGGATATTATCTTACGTGCTTATTTTAGATAATGCATAAGATATTTTTTTTAAAAACAAGTTTTAAATGATTAACATGAGCCAAGTTCTGTAGGTTTTTTTCTTTAGAGTATCAGAGTTCTCTCTAAAATTTAAGTCACCCCCTAATTGTCAAGCACTGTCTCAGAGAAATGAACTTCAAGCAAGAGCCATTACAGTAAGGGCTTACAAAAATGGATCCGAAACGGTCTCTGCCAAAGTGACAGCGGCAACCATCGTCTTGGTAACTAATATTCCAACATTTTCAATTCTTTATTTCTCATTCTCCTTAAAACACAAACAAGTAAGAAAGATAATCATTGTGTTAAAAATCTCCTTGTTAGAAATCTGAATCTGTACATTACTTATGTAGGCATAAGAATTTTACTACTTTTCTATTTTAAAGTCAATTACTGTGGTTAGTAATTAAGTGGATTAATTAAACAACTACAATGCCTATGCATTTTGAAGCATTTTTAAAGCACAGACTATTTATAAACAATACTTGACAATAATAAAATATTCTTACCATTTAATTTGATTTTTTTGTTTCTATATTTTCAACTGCTGGAGAACAATCCCAGCACTGATTGAGTTTCTGGAGCTGGCACGTGACTCAGTTGGCCTTCTATCTTTGTTTTGTGGGAATGTGCTACTTCATTTGTACATTGCTGTGTTTTACCTGCTCTTTTCTTCTAGTTGCTGGAAGACTGCACGAGCTGACTCTGAACACCGCCGCACGGAGAGTGTTCTTGGCACGCGGCGCAGAAGCCCTCAAACCGGAAGGTTTACCGCATGAAGCCAGCGTCTCTGTTTCAACAGGAGAGAGCCCTTTTCAGAGTCATTCCACAAATTTAAAGGTGAAAAAGAAAAAGAAATGGCACACTCTTCCACAATAAATTGCTTAAGGGGTGCAATTAAAAAATGATTTTCTTCCTGTCTCTTTTGCATGGTTTAACAAAACTAATGTTTACGCATTTACAGCTCAGTAAGAGGATAACGTGCTTAATGAAAGAAAAATCCACCGACAGCACGTTTATTGCCCTTCATTAGCATTGGTGCTTAATTTAATACAGATCTGAATAGACATTAGGGAGCCTGCAGGAGGTTAAATGGTGAAAATATAATAAATTAAATCAGAGATTATTGAATTTACTGTTTAGTTTCTGTGACACTCAGCAGACATAATTCATTACACATACGTTCTCAGAAAACAGTTCAAAGTTTCCAAGCTCATCTTTTCATTTATACTCTTGGTCTTTTCTCAGATTGTATTAATGTAATTACAAAATTGTGGCAAGCAATAAACGCGTAATTCTTACGTACATGTTGTTCTCATGTAAATGGATACAGATCCATTTTGATTTTTTTTTTAACTTTTAACTATTTATATGTATGTATTTATACATAAAATCTCAGGTTCTGGTCAGGATTTTCCCCCATATCCATATATTTAAGATTTTGGGCGTGTGAGGGATTTTCCATAAAAGCAAAAAGCCCTTTTTTTTCTTAGTGTGAAATAACGCATTTAAAGAAAGAAAGTAGCAGCATCTACTCAAGCATGTTGTACGGGGAGCTCGTTATCCGGTGCTGAACACGGTGATAGCTTTCAATAACGTAAGAAACAATCAGCGTCCAGTGGGTCTGGCGCTGTGCTCTGGATGCTTCAGATACCGCCTTAGAAGCAATTTCTCCGCCACTCCTGTAAAGTTGGTGGAGCAAAGGCAAGCCCAGGCAGTAACTGCATGAGGCAAAGGAAACTAATTTTAGAGTTCATTACAGATGAGAAGTATGTACGGTGGAGGTCCCCCATACGTTCACGTCACTGTATGAGATGACACTAGAATTTTTATCACATCGGTAACCCTTGATCATCAGAAAACAAGCAGTTTCTTCAATTGAGAGGCTGTGGTGTCTGTGGAGGAGCCTCCCCGCATGACAGCGCAGACCCCCAGACCTTCAGGTTTCGCTTTAACTGCAGACGGCAATCATTTGCTTATGCAAAACAGGACCACAGCAGGCTAACACGTTTCTATGATTTAAAAACTGCATATTTATACGTGGTGTCTTTATCAAGATCCCTGATTCGTTTTATACAGATAAGAAGTTCTTGCTTTCCAGTGAACAATGGTATATATATATAAAGATATATAAAGATCATATGTAGGTAAACTAAGAGGAAAAAAAAAAAACCTGGACATGTATGTATAAAATAAGAATGTCATGTCCTATTCTCGGTGGATGAATTTTAAAAGTACAAAGTACAAGCTAATTTCTTCTCCCTCCCCCACTCTATCCTGTTCAAAAGCCAAGTCCACAACAACCGCCACAACTTCTCTGCTTTGTCTGCACATCTTTGGCTGTGTTTCACTGTGACATGCACTGCTGTTCCTTTAGCACCAAAATGTTGGCACACACCCCTGAAAATTTCACACCATCTCTTGCTGGATCAGCAAGCTTAACCCACCAAAATCTGGTGGTGTGCAATGGTTTTTGACTGATAATCAATCTTTATGCGGCTCGACAGTTGTTACTGGGACACGGAGCAGAGCAGGTGGCAGATGTGTCTTGTCTTTTGAGACAAGAAATTGTAGGTGAGCTTGGACACAGAGACTAGCACATCACATGTCTGTTAAAAAGACGTTGGAGAGCGGAGGGGAGGGGGAAGCCACCATCTAATTATGCTTACAGATAAGCTTAAACACTGATACTTGGTTCCCTTCAGAATGTTGAGAAAATCAATGTAAATATGCTTTGTGTGCGCATACACACACATTCGGGGTGATGCTTAACTTACAGGTATAATGTCAGCGAAAATAAAGCATGTCTGAATGACTCTGACGATAGACGGCCAGCTTCACGTGAGGAGGTGCAGAGCGTTGCTAAGGGCAAGCCGCAAAGCAACTGGCCAGCGTCGGTGTCAGAGGCACAGCTTTCCCATCTGCATGTGGCTTCGCGAGACAGTCGGAACAGAGGCGCTGGAGTCAGTGACCTGCCATTATTTTTAACTTAATTTGACGCTCGCAGAGGCTTATGGGAGATTTCTACGTGCTTGCCAGTAACCAGCTAGATCAGAGGAGGTGAAAGTAAGGAATAATGGTCACTTAGTTACTTTTTAAACATTCTTTCATCTCTCACTTAAATTCAGTGCACCTCAGTCCAATAGAAACTTAAGCCAATAAATATCTTTATCGAGTGCCTACTATGTTTCTATTCCAGGCACAGAGGTCCAGGACTTTGCAGAGCTTAGCAAGGTCTGTAAGTCATAATATGAATACTTTGTAGAAACACTATTCAATATTGTACATCAAATGGATTCTCCCAGAGAAAGATATTTATTATTTTATTTCTCCCACAAGATGGTCAAATTAGTCAGTGTAATCTTTTGGCAAGCCTATTTCCATGATTTATTGGGTTTTTGTTTGTTTGTTCGTTTGTTTTACTAAGCTTTAGAAAAATCAGTGTAGAAGCCAGGCACAGTGGCACATGCCTGTAATTCCAACTGTCTGGGAGGCAGAGGCAGGAGAATTGCTGTGAGTTCTAGGCTAGCCTGGTCTACAAAGTGAGTCCAGGACAGCCAAGTCTACACAGAGAAACCCTGACTCAAAATCAAAAACAAAAACAAACAAACAAAAAAACCAAACAAAAATGAAGAGAGAGAGAGAGAGAGAGAGAGAGAGAGAAGCAGTCAGAGATCAGCGTAGATGGTAAAACTTGCTCATTATGGAAGTCAGCCCCAATTTACTAAGGAAAGAGCCACCAGCACAGTTCTGGTGGTTTACACCGCCCACCGTCCCTTTGAGTATCATTGTCGACAGCCTCTGAGAAACTAGGAGGGCTGTCCACACTCCTCAGAATACAGAATGGTCATTTTAGGGTCAGGCCAAGGTCACGACTGACCGGAAGAAGTGCAGAATTAGACTATTTCCTATATTTTGAATTGAATAACTAATCAGAAAGATTAGGATGGAAAATCAAAAGAGAAAAAGATAGAATAAAAAAAATAGAAATGTTTTATATAAAGACTATTCATGAAGATATCTTACTAGCTCTCATAATTCCATCATGTAATTATTCTGACATTTATTAACTATCATTTCAGAGCTGTGCAGGCACAGTAATGAGACTTTGAAAGAGGTCTTTCAACAAGTTCTCAGATTCACGGTTCCATTGTTTAGACCTTACTTGTTTTTCCTAGCCTTTACCTGGTGTTGGTGAGAAAATTTCCTGATCCATGTGGTTTGTATGCTAAAGCTACAGGCCATGCCCTGGTATGACGTAAACACCTTAAAGAAGGCGAGGCCAAGTTCTTCTGCTTGAGCTCTGATTGTTGCTAAGAGTTTGTAGAAAGGTGGTTTTCACCTCTTCATTTATGGTACTCTGCTATTTGTCTCTCAGAGTTATCATTTATAGCAATTCCTTTCTACCCTGAGATCTGTTAAGGAGAGTGAAGGTGAGTATTATGGGTTAGACCGCACATCCCTTAGTGCTGTAAGATGTATTCACAGAAAAAAAAAAAAAAATCCATGAAAGGAGTTCTCGGCACTACACCTGAGATCTATATTTAAACCTGGAGATTTTCTGCTGCCGTGTGATCATCTACAAAATGAAATAATTTGCTGTGACAGCGTGTGATTGACAAGAATATGTGTGAGCACATTTAAAACAGGCCAGCTTTTCATGTAGAAGTAAATGTCAGTGAAATGATGGATTCTCATCATTTTAATTATTGATGATTTGGAAATATTTCAATTCCGCGACACACAGGACACATTACAAATAACAGCATAACACTTTTTTTCATATCTGCGTCAATAATGAAATGTTCTGTCATATTTTGTTTTTCAAAAAATGCATTAGTTTAATGAACCTGGAATCACGCATTATTGTTTCATTCTATGTCTAGTGAGTTTTACTCTAATGGCTGCTTTGTTCTGCCAGAGCTTACACCGGGCTCACACCTATAGGGTTACCATACCTTAATTCAGAATTAGGCTTAGCTTTCTCACACCCTTTACATTAAATGAAACCATTAGTCTATTTTATCTCCCATTTAGGTACATTGACTCAAAATTAGGAAAATGGCATTACAGAAAAGGTGTCTTCTAGTTTGATAACTGAGTGTAAAAATATAGCCATCTATTTTACACATTTTCTCACTCCAACTTTAAAAAAATGTAATGAGTAATAATGCAATAAGTATAAATCAGTGTGTATTTGAAGTCAGTTGCAGGAGACCAAAAAAGTACCTGGAGGCGATGGGAAAATTGAAGCCTATGTGTGTGTGAGTGTCTGGAAGTATTTCTTACACTGTCAAATGCAAAACCATTGAGAAACACAGGAACGCTTAGTATTTTCATGAAATACTGAGTTGTGTGCTTATCTAGAGGCCGAGCGTCTCTAATAAATACTTGCAAATCTATCTCTCTCAATGACAGTTTGGGTGTGCCAAACACCTGGTTCTGTACACCACACATAACACACTCACAGCTTTCACATCTGAGTTAATGCTGCAGACTAAGAGTATATTATGTGTGGTTCCAGAATCCAGCATTGTGTAATTCCAATTGCTTTAATCCTCGTTTGGTATCTAAACCTTATTTAGTATAGTCAAGGGCATTGTTGAAATGTAAATCTTTTTTTTTTTTTTTTTTTTTTTTTAGATTAGTGGTTCCTATTCTGGGATTTTCTGGGAAAATTTTATAATATGTCACAAATTTGTTTTATGATCTAAACATTATGTTAACTTAACATGTGTGTATGTATGTGTGCACATATGTATGCATGTATGTGTTGAGCCGATGTCAATGTCAAGCGTCTTGCTCAGTCACCCTCTCCTTTATTTTTGAGACTAGGTCTCTGACTGAAACATTTGGCTAGACTGGCTGTCCTGTGAGCCCGAAGGATCCACCAGTTTCTACTTCCACTATTCTAGGGTTATAATTGAGCCACTATGCCTAGCTTTTTCCGTGGACACTGGGGATCAAGCTCAGGTCTTCCTGCTTGCTTGGCTAGCACCTTATTAACTGCACCATTTGCCAAGCTCATATTAACTTTTTAGAAATCCAATAATTCCTAGATATGGAGTTATGCTTGAACGCAAACATTTTAGACAATTGTATTCTGTCCTCTGCAAAGAATTCTGAGAGACATAAATTCTCACTGGGACAGCAACTCAGAAGGGTTGCAAATACTGTGCTCATCACCTCAAATTGTTAGATGAAACCATTAGTCTATTTTATCTCCCATTTAGGTACATCGACTCAAAATTAGGAAAATGGCATTACAGAAAAGGTGTCTTCTAGTTTGATAACTGAGTGTAAAAATATAGCCATCTATTTTACACATTTTCTCACTCCAACTTTAAAAAAATGTAATGAGTAATAATGCAATAAGTATAAATCAGTGTGTATTTGAAGTCAGTTGCAGGAGACCAAAAAAGTACCTGTAGGCGATGGGAAACTCAGTACCCCAAGCACAGCTGAGAAAGCTCACAAGAAAATTCTTCACCCCAAACCTGTTGTTTCCTGTGTAAGAAAGTAGAAGGACAGGTTGTCGAGAGGGAGGCTCTCCTTCATCCTGTTACATTTTCAACAGATATCCATTGTGTTGCTCTTACAATGTTCCAGACATTGATGCAAGACTTGAAGATTAGAGTGACTAAGACAATGGTCTCATGAAGCCTGGGTTATAACGAGGTAGAGGAGATAGAAAACAAATGAATAATAAACTAAATATGGTACTTGTTGACAATGTAAGTGCTGTAAAAATAAATTTTTATAATAATGATGATAAAGTATATAAAAAACAACAGAAGAAGAAAATTCTAGAATGGGTACACTTCTCCAGGAACATCTGAATCAAATTTTGCCTCCTTTCTTGCTTGCCATGATAATTCATTTATGTATTTGATAATTACTCTTTCCAGAGTGGTTTGCCTGTCATACTGTATAGTTTTGAAGTCTCAGTCATCTAGGAGAGACATGACACACACACTACCGTACAGTGGGAAGAACACTGGACTTGAAATAACTTGATCTGCACAATTCTTATCCCTCATGTGTGACTCCGGGCAAATTTTTCTGGTGTTTGTGAATGGAGGTAATACTGCTTTAAAATTCCCGCATAGTTTTTATTATTTTCTCCATGAAATTAAGCTGTTTGAAAACTAACTGTCTGCAAAATCCCTTGGAGAAAGTAGGGAAACATAGAAAATAGGGGGATTGAGGATAACATGTTATGACTAAGATCCCGTGATTTTCATGAGAACTCTGTGTCCACTCCTACTTTCCCAGAATAGCTGGCTGGCTAATTCAGAAAAACAACAATAATTCCTTTATACCTCCTTTATCACTGCCAGGAAAGCAAATTACACCATGAACCTGGGCAGGCACTTAATCTCTCTAAGCCTTTCGCTTCCTCATCCACAAATTGAGCATAATGAAACAGACCTCATGTCATTAGTGTGAGAAGTGAATAAGTTAAGGTGTGTGGGAACTTGGCACGTGGAGGGTGTGAAAACATGCTGGCCCTGAGCTTCAGCTGTTCTTTGCTCCATCCTTGGGTAAGCTTGTTTCTACAAGCCTTTCATACC